TTTTTGAGATTCAAATGTTGGTTCAGAATAATCATGTGGACTGTTATAGCTTTGTGATCCTGCTCTCTTAAATACTGCTATAATTTAAAATAAGCTGAATAACTGAAACCAAATTCAAGTACTGGGGGGAAAATTGACGAGTTTTGGGACATTTTAGAGGTGGTACGATATCTGGAGAAGATGAATTTCTTCAAATTAAGGGTTTTGCGCTGGGTTTTATATTACTTCAAGTGGATGAGCAGCCTCATAGAAAAAATGCTTTGATATAAACCACTGTCTGTAGTCAATTTACAACCTGAAACTCTTAAACCACTCACAGATATCAAAATTTTAGGGCTTCCAAACAAAAGCAAGAGTCATTTCTATGTATAATCTCTTTAAATGCATGCCTCTCTTCTTGATAATTCATCTGGTATATCGAGACAATTTTGAGCAATTGTACGAAGATAACTGAAGAAAATATCACCTTTCTCGACTATAAAAGCCTAAAGCTAATTAATTATATCCCATTTTCACAAGAATAGACGCTTATAACGCCTCTCTAGGCATGATACCGATAACTCATACTGTGCGCGAAAACACATCGTGATGGCATTAATCCTCATTCAACTTACTCGTATGAACTGAAGCAGTATGGATTAACATGGATGCAAGTTAAAAGTACAGCACAAGACAGAAGCAAGTGGAGGCGTGCAGTTGAAGCCCTATGTTCCACCAGGAAACCAAGGGAACAATAATAATAATAAATACAACTTACTCGTATGGAACACCATGCAGCTACAATGGCGGCTGACCTTGGTGCAGTAAAACAAATCTACCTGACTATGGCCGATATTAGGCCACGGCGAGTGCAATTCACTTCCGATGTTACTTGAGATGCAAATGCTGGCAAAATTATACAAATATGATATTTATTTTGAATTAGTACCCAGTTTGGATATAAATCAAGTATAAGATTCGATGACGCACACGGAAAAAGTATTTGTAATCTATCCAACATATACATGGGATTTTTGTCAGTGCGAAGGCAATATCCCTATACATCCCAATGTGCTCCGTTGAGTGACCTGTTAACAGATTGTTCCCACAAACTAAAGCCACAAAGGGCAGAAACCATGTAATTTCACCTTAAACCAAATTTATGTAATTTCAATAATACTTGTTCACTCCTGTACAGTTGCTTGTTCCTACATAGATCGGAATGAATATAATATTATCAAAGTTAGTTCCATCGATTTAAATCTTCGCTGACTTCATATAAGCCAACTTCCATATACTTAAAAACAAAGCAGTGTAAGTACTTGCACAACATGGAGCTATGAAAGATAATTTGGTATGTGAGCGGGCGAAATGAGCACAGTGTCTCTGTTAATACAAAGCAAAAACTGGAATTTGAACCCGCCTTTTGCACATAGCCTAAGCTATGAGAATTCAAGAGGACAGTCTGAATCTTTGCGTACAAAAGAAGTTTGTCTTACCTTTGTCTCTCCCTTGGCTTAGGCAGAGTGTAATTAAAACCCTCTCACTTTTCATTATTTTCAATTTCCTCCACATATTCATGATATTTATTTCAACTCTGATCATCTGTAGACTTCATATTTAGCATTACGTAGCTTTTAAGATTTAAACTAATCAATTTATTGAGCAGTCTGTATATACACATATTACTACCTTCGTTACTTCTTTCACCATCCACATAAGCCTCATACTACCTACAATGAACTCTAACTGTTGTGTTCTGCTGAATCTTGCTCCACTATTCACAAAACCTATTCTTTTTACTCTAAGAGTTTAACATCTTATAAACTAATCTCTTCATTAGGACGCATGCACGCATATATAATACGTTCATAAATCTGCACGTGGAGATCTATTGGAAGCACTCACTAAGAAAGTTAGGGAAATGGAATGTGAGGTACGAACGTGTCTGGAGCCAAGCAATATATTTACTGTAGCCATAACAATCAGAGCCTAACATCATAAAAGGAGGGAGGGCGGCGCATGCTGATCAGTGGATATGGTGGTGGTCACTGAGGTGAATCGCCCCATTCTGCAGGAACAGCAATATGCAATTTGATGGCTCGAGATTTCTATGAGGGCTTGAATCTTTATCTTGAATAAGATAATAATGATCGCCTAGACAGATCATGCTTCTACCTTTAAACATATACCATTCGGTCAGCCTATTGCTGAGATGCCACCACGTGGGCTCTGCACAGATGTATGGGGCATCTTATAAATTAACATGCTTTCCTTTGTCGAATCTTCGAATATCACTTCACAATGTCTCATCTCATTCATTTTCTAATAACGTCTTCACTTGCTCATTATATTCCATCAAACCTAACATTTTATAGCTCTTTATGAATTTGATTCGACTTATTTTATTCCTATTCTCTATAGGGTACGGTTGTGCACCAAATAAACAAAAAGGTATGAAATAAAAACAACCGGCTTGTGGATAATTGTATTAAAACCAAAAGTGGATATCACGATAGTAAGACCTATATGGGTAGCATTATACATTGCAAATGAACTTTGTCAGCCTAGGGATTATAGTCCCCCATTGTATTTCCTTTATGAATGCATCTATTAATGATACATTGCACTTACCTATTTCATTGCACTCTAATAGTTCACCTTAGCACCTTTACTTTTCTAAAACAGCTTACTATCCCTTGTAAACGTTGTACTTACCTCAGTATTGGTTGGTTATCGTATGCCTACAACCACGGGTTGAAAACGAAACGAAGTGGATTTTCCCGCGCAACCTGGAGGACTACTGTACAATTCAATAATCACACGGCCTAGGTTAGACAATGAGTGTATTTATATAAATATCAAATATTTAGCTGTTCAAACATTATTAACTTGTAGACAATCTACTATTTGACATTATATCATACTTGATCGTGCCTGTAAAAATGGGATGCATTTTCATGTAAATTTATGTTTATATGAAAATATACATTATTATTATCATTAATTTGTTAACGTTATGATCACCGTTATTATTGAAATTCAAAACATTCAACATTTATTATTATTTGATACACGAACTCACCGTCATTTCATAAATTTTTCTATATGTGGAGCTGTGTGAATTAAAGTAAAACCTGAAGGAAACCAGATTTCAAATATATTGATTTAGGATAGAAGGCTTGGAGCCTATGTTAATCCTCTTCTAGTAAATTTCTGTGCTTTTCCAAACCCTTCTTGAATGGATCAGTTGAGGTTGCAGATATCACTTCTTCTGAGAGTCGGTTCCAAGAGTTGATGACTCGATGTTAGGATCAGCACACCACGGCAATATGATTTCTTGCTGGCCTTTGAGCTCTCTGGCTATGTCCTCTAAGGTGTTCCGACCTGGTGGGAAAGAAAAGAGAGAATAGGTCAGTTCCGTAGTCATTATTCAAAATTTTGAACTTTGTAATTAAATCTCCTCTCTGCTTACGGTATGATAGGGAGGAGAGATTTAAACTGTCTAGTCTTTCCTCGTATGAGAAATTAGTCATGCCGAGAGCCATGCGTGGTGCCTTCCTTTGAACCCTTTCTAGAATGTGTGGGTCCTCCTTTAGACAAGGGCTAGTTCGTAGGAGCTCGTGCTTGATTGTCCAATGCGCATGGTTGCACATTTTGCCACATTTATTGGGAGCATCCATTCTATGGACCACTCTGACAATTTGTTGAGGTCTTCTTGCAACGTGGACGTGTCACTGTTGCCCTTCAGCTCTCTCCAAATTTTTAAGTCATCTGCGTATAGGACCATAGGGGAGTCGGTGGGCAGAGATAACTCATTGATATACAAAATAAATAGGAGAGGTCCGAGTACCGTGCCTTGTGGCACTCCGCTGCTTACTGCTGTCCAAGAGGAGAGTTTCGAGTTGATCCTAACCCTCTGCCTCCTATCTATGAGGAATTCCCTGAGCCAGTTTAGTAAGCTGCCTTTCAACTGAAAACAATATTTTTCGCCTGTTCTAACATTACTAATGGGAATACTTAAGGATTTCACATTGCTGCCATAAACAGACCCCATATGTTTTCTAATATTAGAGAATAACAAGCAAGTTCCAAGACATCCCGGGAAAAATCAATGCCATGAAGTCATTATTCTCTCATCCAGACTTCTTTTAGTTCATTCAAGAACAGGGTAGATTAACATTACACTAATTTCCCTTATTTTGAAGAAAGTATCGCGAATATTCTACTCAAGAACTAATCTGCATTCTAAATAATGCTTCGTAAAATTGATTTTGTGAATGCGAGAGAAACTGCAGCTGCAATTTTGGGAAAATGTGTCCATCAAAGATTTTTAAATGACTTCTATGTACTGGTAACACTGTCAAATGACACTCTGCTTTATGTGAAAATAGGCCGTATATGTATGCTGAGATATGTGAAGTCTTCACTGAATGGTACTACAACAAAAATTCAGCTTCCACCTAAAGTAGACTGTTTGTGTAGATGATGCTACACTCCAAATATTTTGCCTTGTTCCACAAAGTTCACCTGAGACAAAAACCTTGCAACCAACGTGCTAAGAGCGTGTCGCAGTCAGAACACATGACGTGGACACCAGCATGCCACGTCAAGAAATTAGAGTTTCCATCAGTCCAGACAACATATAATACGATTTTATTGCAAATAATCAACGGGAAAACTTTACAATTGAAATTTCAACCGACATTTCGGATAGGTCCAGCCGAGAGTGACGCATAGTGAATGAAGGGTTTGACTATGGGGGTATTCATCTGAAGGCAGGAACGTTTCCTGACGCTAGGAAGACAATGTGCAGAATCACTTTGGTCAAAATCAACTTCTAGAGGAGATGCTCTCAGTGATAAAAAATATTCCTCATTCAAAGCTATGGCAAGCAATCACACAGAGCTTCGCAAAATATCTTCAGAGTGAAAATTAATTTTTCTTCACTTCATCAAAAAAGTTTTGTTTGATGGTTAATATATTTTGGTTATTCTTCTTTTAATGCACTACTTTAATATCTCTGTTTCTAATGCAGCTGCTTACTGATTCAATAATTCAACTATCCACATTTACCATGTTTCAACAGACAGATTAATGTTTTGACACATATATCATTGATGGTTGGATCTATCAGAGAATATAAACAATCCTAGCGTCAGTCAGAGGCCTTCAAATTTGTTGTTATCCATTAAATTGTCACTTACGATTATTAGAGTCACAGTTTCTTGCTTCTTTATATCAACTTGTCTACAGAACAAACAAAATTGATTCAATACATGGTCGTCATATTTAGAATATGGAGCTGCTAAATGGTCTTCCGAAGACCATTCGACGTGAAAATATTGATCTGAATAATAAAACGGTAAAAGATTTGTTAGAGGACGGAAAGATCAAAAGTGCAAAGGATTTAAGCAGGGATATAGTGGAAGAAAACTTGGAATTATTGCTTCAAAAATGGTTAGATGAGGGTGATCAGCAGTGTGCATTCTATCTCGGCCAGATTTACTTTGAACAGGTACTACAAAATATGTACTATATAATTGTAGTTTTAGGAGAGATATGATGAGGCTTGGAGTTATTTTCATACTGGCTATTATAAGTATAATGATCAGAATTCAAAATTTCAGTTGGGTGTCATGCTTTATGACAATCTGGTTAGTAGAGATATAACCAAGATTCCTGACCCACAGGTAAGCATTATAGTAAAAACATTACTGCCACAGGCTAAGGCTTGCGAGCTATTCAGGGAAATTATGATGCTAGATGATGAGTGTGGTGTATATTCTTACCAGAAAAGCCTAATTTACAATGCAGCTTATAATCTTGGAAGAGCTTACCACCAGGGTTATGGAGTATATCCATCTGTGGAAGATGCTTTAAGGTAAGCTTGCTAGTGTTTGTTAATCCCGCACCATCCGGCTTGAACAAATTTCTTTTTGTTGTTGATTTTGCACAGATTCTGACTGAACTCTTAGTTCTCCGAACTTCTGTGGACTGCTAAAATATTACTGATATTTGTATAGTAAATATAGATCCTACTTATGAAAACTTTGCAGTATTTTGTACACCCAGACCCGAAATTTTAACAGCGTTTTAATAACATATATTTTAACAAAACAAAATTCCTTAGAAATTCGCATCATCTAATTTACTGTAGGAAATATAACAGTGGAGATAGGTGTAATTAAGCTGAACAGAATACTGGACTCAGGTCAATTTGGGTTCCTTATTTTGAATAAAAAGTTAGTTTTTCCTGTGAAACTAGAGGGAATGGACAACAGAACTGTGTTTTGTGCTAAATGGTATAAATATATGAAATAGTTTAAAAAGGAATTTATTCAAACCGGAGAGCAGTGGTTTTCTGAAAATACTTTGCAACATGAAAATTGAATTCAATATTTCTATGCTTTCTGACCAGTTTCTAGGTTTACTTTTAACTTCAATAGCACAGTACAGACAGATGACTGCCACATAATTCTTGATATGAGCCTCCGAGTTTTTATTCTCATAAATTCATTTAATTCACCAAAATTTTAAAATTAATGTCGGAATCAAGCGCATGTCTATATTCTTACGGTTATCAAACTAAATATTTATGGACTACGTTTTGTGGTCAGAAATGCACTATTCTAACAGTCACAGGTCTTGTTTCGTAGTGATTTATCAAGACATTAACGGGGAATCCCACAAACAAAAGTAAATGCACTTGGTATCAACATGTTGAAAAATTATTCTCAATTCATCTCAATTTATGAGTCAACAATAGCGTTTTTGTTTTAAATAAAAGTAAAGCGTGTATTGCTGCTGAATTTAAACCTATTCATCTGATAAGAGTTTTATCTTCTTGAAGTAGTAAAAAGATTAAATAAATTCTATTGCAACTATTGCAGTATTAAAAGAACAGCATTTACTGCACGAATATAACTCATCATGAGCTATTCGTATAACATCCCTTTTCTTCATTAACATGGTTGGGGTTATGAAATAATATTGGGAATCATATTTATTTTCTGTAGTTGGTTTGTAAGGATTAGTTTTATTCTTACGAGTTGATCACGGATTGACATCAGTTAGAGAACCATTGAAAAAAATGCAGGGAGTACTGGACAGCTGTCTTATCCTAGTTTGGGAATCATCGCCAGTACTCACCCACCGCGAGGATTAGAACCCAGGACCTTCCAGATACAAGGCAAGCTCGTATACCATTCAGTCACTGGTTAAATTCCCTGGATACTTTTCTGTCATATCTAACGTCATAATTATCATCGCAAATACTAGTAGTGTAACGACAGAAGACAAGAGCCAGACAACAGATCCTTAATTGAGAAAATCAAGATATATTTATATATATTTTATGTGCATTATTATAGGTTATTGTTAGCAGAGAACAAGCGTCTTCTAATTAGTTGTTCTCTCGCTGAAAGTGTTCTTGTTATTTTCTCATGACCAAGATTTTGGGCGTAAACATTGACGTAAATAGCTGTCTACCAATTTGGCTAGCAGATAGCTCTCACCACAATACGACTAGCTGAGGTAACCTTTCTAAAGGAATCAGAATGTGTCATAACGGAGCGTTACTGGGCTACGGATTCGTCTAACTTGACTTAAAGAGACCTTCAGAACGCAGCACTATAACAAACTGATCTCTTGAAAATACTTCCCACTCCGTGATGGACACAAGGATGAGTCTAGAAAAAGCGACAACCAGAACGACAGAAACAACCACGACATTTATAAGGTAAAATACATAGCATCTCAGAAATTTAAGCCATAAATAAATACGTCTGACTAGTTGTATGACACCGAAATCCCACAAACAATCAAGACATGAATAAACGAATCAAAACTGTTCAATCAGGTCATCATGTCAGTACACGCACAAAACATGTCTTCACAGCTAGCAAACAGTCATGTCTGTTCTAACAGAACTGTTTCAAAAATTCATCATTTTTGTATAGCTTTGTCACTTTGGACCTAAGAATGGAGTAAATTGTTATAATACATACAGGCAGAGAAATTATTTTGTGTCCTCCAATCGCCGAAATTTGTAATTTGGTTAACCGAAAATTCCAAACAATGTAATGATAAAGTGATGCAGAATGGACTCATGTCACCTCAATCTAGGCACTAATGCTCTAAATCCCTATTAAGTTGAGCAATTTCAACTCCACATTATCTGAAAGTGTTTATTTGTTGTCAAGTAAACGAAAACGATGAACAGTTAGAACTTCATAATAAAAATTTGCGAGGAATAATTATTTATTATGTTCATTTCGCACCCATTTGTGTTTTAAGTATCAATGTTTTAAATTCTTTGTGCTGTCAAACAGTCATAACCCAACGACATTATGTATTACTGATCTACACCAAACTCTGAGTTAGAAGATAAAAGGCATAGCAATAGAATTGATTAACGTCTTCATTCAGTTTTTTTTGTAACTTATATTCCAGTTTTGATAAAAATGCACTTTTATTCGGAAGTGATTTAAATTTACAAACCTTCTTTTTGACTCTTATTTGTGGATTGTTAAATGACTTTTAATGCCACTAATGGCTAAAGAAATCTTTTCTAAACTGTTTCCTTGTTAAAATATAGATGCTTTCTATTTGCTGCAAACAATGGTGACCCTAATGCTTGTATATCAGCTCAAACAGCACTTGGTTACTTATATTCGGGACCAGATATTCGAGATTTGGAGAAAGCTTTTCAATGGCATTCTGATGCCTGTGGGAACGGTAGTGTAGAATCTCAAGGTTAGCGACAGTTTCACTCATCATGATAGTAATGATCATAATCACGATGACGATGTATTTTTGTGCATTATGATGAAACTGATAATTCTTAGATCAATTATTTCAGTAAACCATTTTTAAAACTCTTTCCTTATTGTAAATTTATGTTTAGTAAATTAGCTGATTAAGTCTTATAAGATGATGGATAAACATTAGGTGTACTTGACCAGGATGATTTTGATAGTTTCATTACCTCTTGACTCTGTGAGTTAATGACGAAGTTTCAATATTCGCAGAAGTCATTACCTACAAATGTAGAACATGATGCTTCAAGTTGGACCATTAAAGTTTCATTAGCGGCGGTGTTTATTTTTGCGGGGTGAGATTATAACCTCACCCTCTTTACTGGGCTTACTACCGGTTAAGCGACACCAGGACTGCACTGGTAGCTGGGTAGCTGCCGAGCAATTCACTAGAAATCAACCGATAACAACTGTACGTACTAATCAATTTGCGATAAGTGCTAATTGTTATAAACAGCTTAAATATGATTTAAATTGTCACCGGTTAAAATCGAGTTTGAAGTGTAACACCTATTTTTTATACTGATTATGTCTAATATGCATACAAAGTTTGATGGGCGACTATATGGCATATCCCTTTTTTGAATTGGCGCCACCTACTTTATCCGGTGGGTACTGCTGTGTTTCAACAAACAGTCCAAACCTACTACCATAATTTCATGAAAATAAAAAAATATATACTCTCAGCTTTTGAACTTACTACCTCCTTTAATTCGTTACATTGAGTAGATATCAGTAGCGAGCAACATTTTCTGATAAAAGTGCAGCAAATATAATAGAGCTGAAGAATATAATGCCACCGATAACATGTATGTCAGGAAAACATTTAAATGCGAAATTTCATTTAAAAAGGGTAAAAGAAAATAATTTGTCATTATACTACCATAGCAATGGACTACGATACTACAATTAGTGAGGATGAGCAGTAAAACCACTCAAGTCTGTCTGTCTTATAACAGAGTGTTGCTGATTTGTGGGTGTCGTCTAACTTGACTAGAATGCGCCTCCAAACATGACACTATAAACAACTGATCACTGGGAAACAATATTCCCCCACACCGAGATCGACACAAAAGTTGGATTTAACTGTGACAAGTATTTTATTATTCAAAATACAGGGGATATATAGTTTAAAAATCCTTTGGGAAATTCAAGCCATAAACAAATAATCAACATCTGATTGGTTGCATGACCTTGAAACTCCTCCAGAGATAAGCCAATCAAAAACTGCCCATGTTAGTGCATGTATCAATCATAAACTCACGGCTAACAACGATAGAATGTCCCTCCAAACAGACTGTTATTACTCAGATAGACTGAATTACACGATCAGCTAACTAATTAATCATTTATAGTTCAGTCAAATAAAAATGGAATTCTGGGTCGTTGTTTCTTTCTAGTTTAAAATTCAGCAATGTACATCCATTACAAGGAAATATATCTTGCTGCTACATGTATTTTTCAGGAGTTTTGGCAACTGACCACTATTCCTAATCAAATCTACCTTGAAACATAAAAATTTTCTTTTTGGCTTTGTCTAAGTTGAAGGTATATATTTTCGTGGTAAATAACTCTTCAAAATTTGAGTTGAAGGTACGCGGTCAGGCATCCTCGACAATAGACACACTGGAGTGTTAAGTAAGGTTGTTTTTGCACTCAACAGGACTGATAGAGATCTAACTGTTGTTTTAATTTAGCTTACTTACTATTCTCTTGTCTACATTGAATAAGTACATTGAACGTTGGAGGATATTTTTATGCCCATAGTCACAGAATTTTGCCTAAATTTCTCTGCCACTAAAATACCTTGAATTTCATAAGAATTCTTCTAAATTTTGGCATAAGGTTAATTCTGAATTGAACCTTAATGTCTGTCAGCACTTTTGGTGAAGAGAAGTACCACAAAAAATCAACTAGACAAGGCATTCAAGAACCTTTTTTTTCATGAAATATCACTGAAAATAACATCAGGATTTAAGTCATCACTTCTGTCAAAAAGAATGTGTTGACCTGATCAAGACGTAGTAAAAATCCATGAATTCATTTACTGTTTATCTGGAGGTGTGCACAGAGGTTTTATAAACGCAGGAACCTACAGGCTGAATGTACAAATTGATATGACTTAAAATTTATCACAGTAACACTCACATGCACTCAGTCTTTCTTAGATTCAATATCATTTCTCTTCATTATCCTCGCCTTTTCTTCGTCTTAACTTTTTTCACTTTATACTTAATGTGCAGATTTGAAGTGTGAAGACTTGGAACATCATGCAGTGACACCTGGTTTGGCATTTGTGGTATCTCTATATAATAACAAAACACTTTGTCCCTTCAATGGTGACGCAAAAGCATACTTTATTTAGCATATAAGTTGTTTTTCTGTTTCGTAAATAACCAAACTTATTTTTTTTCTGCAACAGAAACATACTATTTATAAATGATGGTTTTAGTAGTATTTGTAATTTTCAATATTACGCTTTTCTTTTCTTCTTTATGCTATTTAGCTGCATTGGGTGTAATGTATTTGTACGGGATAGGTGTTAAAGAGAATCGTGAAAATGCTTTATACTGTTTATCTGAAGCTTCAGCTAGAGGCAGTTTATATGCTAGAGCCAATTTAATCTACTTTTATTATCAAAGAAAAATGTTTACAAATGCTTGTTATTTAGCTAGCAGGTAATGCATACACTTTTTTTCTAAACGAAAAACGTTAATCATCTTAATATCGTGTTATTTAATTGGTGATATTATGGTTTCAGAAGCAAGTAGAATCCCCAGAACCAATTAATAGTGAGAAAAGATGACTTAGCTCCTCTATTGTGAAACATATTATAGAAACAAGACATAAAATTGATGTTTACACGTCTTTTAAGCCTATCTATAGAAGGTGTTTGGGGTGTATCCTAAAGTTTATGGAAGCCCTAGCTGGCAATTAGGAAGTTTAAACCACCTTTATGTGTTCAAAAGCAATTCGTCATCATACTAAACCTTCCTTGGTAAACTTTGATGACAGAGTCTACGCCAGAGTTTACGCCGTCTCTGGCGTAGACGTGATATCCTACTATCGACCAAAGGGCGTGTGTACTGCTCAACAGTCCGCTCCGTCCTCCTTTATGGCTTTGAGACCTGGCCATTGAGAGCGAAAGACATGAAAAGATTATCTGTGTTCGATCATAGGTGTCTGCGTTCTATCTCCCGCGTGAAGTGGTATAATAAGGTGAGCAATATTGAGGTTAGGCGTCGAGTGCTAGGTAAGGAGGGGAAATCAGTCGACGGAACTGTCAAATTACATCGACTGAGATGGTTAGGACATGTGCTACGTATGCCCAGTCATCGCCTTCCTCGACAATGGGCAATGTTAGCTGATATAGGGTCAGACTGGAAAAGAGCTAGCGGCGGTCAGACGAAAACATGGCACCAGTCAATGAAATCTACAACTGTTAGTCTAAGCCACGTAGGAAGGTGTAGACTTCCTGGTTGGGGTCCTCGGGACGGTAAAAACCAATGGTTGGAAACAATTGATGATATGGCTCAAAATCGTTCTCAGTGGCGCAGATGCATCCACTCCTTGTGACTTATGATTTCCAATTAAACTGTTTTGTTCTCCGTTATTACTATTACTTTGTCTCACACCTCTGTTTACTGTCTATATTATGCAGTTCTTCTACTTTCTTCTCATGCTTTGTGTGCTACATGGAGTGTGGCGGCTTGAACTACCGCACATATGTGCAAAGTTCTATGTCGAACATAGACAGACGGACAGACTTTGATGACATTTTATGTTGGAAAATGCTTTGGTGCAAACGGTTTTTTATTATTCTTTATTTTCCTATATTAGTAGGACATTCTAACTGAGATAGAGGTAACATTAATCGGTTTTCGAAACGATATATAATGGAAATACGAATACTTTTGGAACAATTTTATGCCATTCTGGCTAATTTTACACCTTATAGTTTGAAATCCCTAGCCTATCAGATGATGTGATGGCTACTACATGTTGGCGCTTTTGCCATAGGCAGTGGAATGGCACATGACCTTATGGTTCTGTAGTTGATTTGGTGAGGTTTTCATGGTATATGCTTGCGCTTCACCTTTATAACGTTTACCACGACTGTTAGCGGTGACCTTGACGTTGTGGTCTGGCTTGTTTATCGAAATGGTCCAACAGATTAGACCTGCTGGAATGAATATTTCTTCCCCTTCATCAAGATATATATATGTTTGTTAGGTCGCTTATGGACTAGAAACAGTTAGAGTATGCGGCTTATTCTCTGGTTGTGGACTCAGAACAAAGTTGTACTCGTAGAGGATAGGATTTCTTCGAGGTAACCAAGAAGTTAGGTTTGTTGCCTTTTCACTATAGCGAGAATGCATTATACAGTTTCCACGCCGAAAATTGTAAATCTGAACTTAACTAAGGTCGAGCGATAACCAGCAGTAAGTTTGTATATTGATTAATATTAACAACTGTGATTACGACAACTCATAACTTTCACTACTTTCCTCTTTTATGCCGAAATTGTATATAAATGAGATTTTACATCGAAGAAAATGAATTTCCTGAGAAGAGCCCCTTCGCTGAACTACTTATCTTTTATCTGAATTATTAGGATTTGGGAAATTATTCTGGTTATTCGAATCTGTTTATACCCTACCATAATGTACTCTTTCAGCTTAAAGTGTATTGATTTTACCATAAAGTGCTTACATAGTTGTGTTAAAGCCTAAATTACCAAATATTTGCACTATTTAGAAGAATAAATTTACGAAAAAACTTTCCACTTCGCTTTATAAATAACCTGTAAAACTTTTATATAGAATGCAAAAACTATTTATTTCATATCATGGAGGATTTCATCATGAGCTGACATCAGTTAGAGAACCACTGGAAAACCTGGGAGTACTGGATATCTGTTTCGTCCTAGTTTGGAGCTCCTCAGAGGTACGCACCCACCGGGATTCGAACCCAGAACCTTCTGGTTACAAGGCGAGCTCGTAGACCATTGAGCCACTGGGACCCGATCCAATTTCATATCAGTTTACATTTCACCACTGATCGAAATCTGTTAGATAATTAATCAGAAGTGAGAAGCACAGGACAGCGGTTTTTTTCTAGTTTAACATTCTTCATCAGTCCTTACGCACGACCCCACCAGGCATAGTTCTGTAGAACCTTTTTGAATGCGCGTGTTGATCATTCAGTCACTGGGTTGCATTCCAATGACCGGTGTATTCTACCTTATTTTAATCTGATATACACAGCCACCGTCAATTAATGCCATGGATAAGCATTAGTTTCATATCCAACAGAATGGACCCAACAAATCTTAATTAAGACTTCAAGACATCTATCGTGTAGCATATTTGAAATTAATAAAGGTTTTAAGAGTTGACAATATTATCCACTTTTGTACAAAGAGGAAGCATGTTATTCGCTGCATTCATTGGCAACTGTTTAGCAGTTAGTTAGTTTCTTAACCTATCATTCTGTATGATTAAATAATTCTGAAAACAAATATATAAGGGATAAATGAATGAATAAAATTCATTCTACTCTTTTTGTACTATAACAGCTTATTTTGTAAATTTTCTCTTTATTTACTAAAATGAATAAAAACGCTAAGTTTCTGTAAATAAGTACTTTAATAAATTTGAACAAAGCATATGAAAATGAAGTTACTGTTACTTAAACTTTGTTTTACTGAATTGACATCAGCTATAAATGAACTTTTATGTATTGTTCAATTCAATAGCACACACGGTTTAGACAAACCATAAGGTAAATATTGGCAATTCAAATGTTGGTTTGCAGGGATTTGATTGCTTTCAGAATTTCATCAGGAACTGACATAGGTTAGAGGACCATTGAAAAACCGCTGAGTATCGGACAGCTGTTTCGTCAACCTAGTTCGGGACTCTTCTTCAGTACGCACCCACTGAGATTTGAACCCAGAACCTTCTGGTGACAAGGCGACCTCGTAGACTATTAAGCCACTGGGACCCGATCCAGGGGTCCATGAATTTCAAATTCTGCAAATTCACGATATGACGCAACCACTAGCGAATGTCATCTGCGAGTACTTGTCCTCACACCTGACCTGCTGTACCCGACTAGTCACGACTTCCCACTAGAACCCAAGTAACTACCTACCTGAATAGGGCTAGTCACTAGTGACTGGGACAAAACAGCTGTCCAGTACTCCCAAGTATTCCAATGGTCCTCTAACCAATGTCACTTCATGATGAAATCCTGAAATGTTGGCAAATCGTTTTCCATTTTCTATCATGTATTTAATAAATCCTCCAAAAGCCGCTGGGTACTGAGTACTCAAAACAGCAGATGCGACAACAGTTTCTCTTGAAATAAGTATAACTTCGTGTACAAAACAACCAAACGAGCTTGATATGGAATCAGTAAACTCTTAAACACTGTATTGTCAGATCTTGGAGTTGTGAATGCTCATCGCCGTCACCACAAGTATTCACTGACATACTTTTGTTGTCATTCATCGAACTTTGGTTTCACCACCTAGGTGTTATATTCTAGATTTTATCAAATTATTGTTTTCTTCCTCCTTATTTTCCTTTTTATTTTCAGAATGGTCTGTTCTGATGACATCCTTTCATCATCTGAATGTATACTTACATTTCAATATCGGGCAATGTCGATGGCATGTTTTCTTTATGCATTATGTTTAAAAAGTGGTAAAGGTGTTGAAAAAAATATATCACTAGCTTCTGAATTATTCCGCAAGGTTGTTATTATTCTTGTATACTTATTATTACTTTGGTAAAATGTATAAAATCCAGAAATTTCCAGCCAATTTTAGACATTTCCATTTAACTCGTCCATAAACTTATTCGTAAAGTTTCCATAGAATGATTCTCACCGGCAACACTGTGATATCACCCTTTTTTAGCAAAGTGAAAAACGTGACTGTGTGCTACCTGCAGTTATTTTACAACGGAGAAGTTTCGTATATATATATATATATATAATCTTGACTTTTATCGCATAAGTAAGCTTCATACACTTAACTGCCTATCAAATTAGGAGTCAATTGCGGAAAAGTCATGAATGAAATGTCAAACTTTTAATTATAAAATTGCAGGAGAATGCTCATTTTTCCTAATATTTACCTTATAATTATTTGTTGTCTGAAGTGAAAAAGAGTGTAATCGCGGATGGGGAATATGAAGTGCTATCTGAGGAAGGAAGGGTGGTCAGTTCATGGGTTCTCAAAAGATTGTCAGCTAAATTGACTGGAATGTTTAATTACTTTTAGTGGTATCAGTCAAATTGATGACAGTGGCTTATCTATATTTATTCAGGATTCTGAAAAGCTTATGGAAAGGTTTCCAAGATGTCTGTAGAGTTAAGGTTATCTGCTTTTTTGGTCACTCAGTGGCATCTAGGCATTGTATTGTTCTAGTGAATTACTAGCTAATAAAATAACAAACTGGATATAGTCAGTACCTAAGAATCCCTGTCCAATTCTCTTAACCTCTATCTTTGAATATTCCTGAAATTTTCGGGTATTTGTTAACATTTGAGCAGTTGAAATTGCACTGATAGTTTTGGGGAACAATGCTACAATAATCTGCTTGCAACTCCCAATAGTAAACCTTCGATTAATAAATTCACTTGCAATTTTAATTACTACTAAGCATTTCTTGCTTGCTTCATGTGCTTTGGAGTTTCAATGGTGATACAGTATGCAGACGTTTGTTACTTTGAGAACGGTGCCCAGATCTGCAGCACAAGGGACACAATCTGAATTTTCAACACTAATGTTAAGTCAGTGTCTACATATGGATAGTTCAGAGACTTAGCGCACGCGTTTACAACAAACTACTTTTATCAACAGATGACTTCGACCAGTAATGAAAATCAGATAGCCACCCAGAAGAGCTACTCATCAAGAAACTGTAGCCGTGCACTGAACCAGCCAACAAAATATGCAGAAAGAAATGGAGATGGACAAAGCATACTCTGAGGAGATCTTCAAGTGACATCAGACTCTTGGATCTCAAATGGAATCTGAATAGGAAGCGACGTGTTGGATATCCGAAGGTAACAATTGCGAAGATCACGTGAAGGCAAAGTGAAAACTTGTTGACAGTCGTGGAGGCAACTGAAAGTAAAGTCAGAGAAAACAATGTGATAGAGATGTGCCTATGAAGCCTTATGCTCCACCGGGAATGCAAGGAACGAATATCAGTATTAAGTATATCTGATGAATTAAATAGCTGTGATGAATACAGTTACTTGGGTAGTAATTATCAATTGTTTCAGTCGCTAGAAATGGATTTAGTGAATGAATTGATCATTATCTTTTCTGGAATTTGTGCTTTATTCTGCTAAGTGGCATTTAACGTAACCATCAGCAGTGTATAAATGACGACTGCCAACTGGCACCAAACCTAGGTCCAAGGCTTCCTGTCGATTCCCTCCAACTATCTAATACCATCAAATCAGTGTGCACCGTGATGGCTAGCTACCTAGAATGGTGGCCATATTGCAAACCTGACTGGTAGAATTCAGTCTGCACCAAAGAAAAGACTAGACACATCACACTGGTTACTAGTGACAAGTCTTTTTCCAGCATATTGGTTTATTTGATTTTCGATAGGTCTCTCAGTATGCGTCGGTGGCACATTGGTTAGGATGCTCGCCAACCATGCACATTGTCCGGGGTTTGACCCCCGACCGACGCACTCCTATACCTCACCAAACCAGTGATAAAAAGCCGGTAAAGAGGAAAGGTTGGGCATGAGGCTAGCAACCTCATCCTGTAAAAGTAAAACACTGCTATAGAAACTTCAAGCCTCTAGCTTGAAGCCCTATGTTCCACTGGGAACGTGAGGGAAAAAAGGTCTCTACGAATAATCAATTTGTTGTTCATGAATAGGACTGTGTAAATTTTCCCTTTTCTTTGTACTTTGAACCTAGTATACATGTCACTTGATTTTACTGATTTGTATAACATAATGGTTTATTTAAGGGTGAAGTTAGCCTCTAATTTATTTTGGTAAATATTTTAATAGCTGAACAATCCATTATCAGTTATTCCCTTTTTCGGTGTTACGGAAATGTGCAGTCAATATGTTGTATTTCACACATAAACATTTAGTCAATATGTTGATAAATTACTATACTATTTTTAAATCAACCTGCCCTATTTTTCTATTCCTTTACTTTCCCAGTGGAACATAGGGCTTCAAGCTAGAGCTTTGAAGTTTCAGTAGCAGTGGTATTTATTTTTACGGAATCGGGTTGCTAGCCTCATGCCCAACCTTCCCTCTTTACCAGTCTTATTACTGGCTTAGCGAGTTAAAGGAGTGAGTGGTCTGGGGGTCGAAGCCTAAACTACCGCCGTGCAACCGACTCACACAACCTGCCCTTTATTACCTGACAATCACCAGCATGGTTCCTACCAGTGCTGTAGGTTCACACTACTGCAAGATCTCCAACTAGCACGAATCGTCTACCCAGTGCTTCTTGTTACACGATATTTTTTTTCCAGTTGTCGGTAGTTCTTGTAATCATTTGTCTTCAAATTAATTCAAGAAGACTTAAACATGACTGATTTTGATTAACACTTGTTTTCATTTGTTCCCTCCCGCCCCATACTTTAGAGTATTGAATGGGATGCTTCATTGGCTGCAAGATATTCGCGCTTAGTTACAACTGGTGAATTATAAAAAAGAAATATCTGAATAAAGAAAAGTGAAGAGTCTTATATTAAATTATTTTTCTAAACATAATATCTTTTGTGTTCATTTGAAGTTTTTATCTATTATTTTGATTACAGATCTTATACGTCTTTATTTTGTTTTATTTTTCTCACTATAACATTGAGAAATTTTTGTTTACATTCTTTTTCATTATTATTGCTGTTATTATTATTATTTCAATAAATTATTTCTCTCACTATATGATGAATTTTCTTTGATTTCTTGTTCCTGATTTATGTCACTGTAACTTCCTCGACGGGCAATGTTAGCTGACATAGGGTCAGGCTGGAAAAGAGCTAGCGGCGGTCAAACCAAAACATGGCACCAGTCAATGAAATATACAACAGTTAGTTTAAGCCACGTAGGAAGGTGTAGACTTCCTGGTTTGGGTCCTCGAGACGGTAAAAACCAATGAGGGGTGGAGATAATAGGTGATATGGCTCAAAATCGTTCTCAATGGCTGGCGCAGATGCATCCACTCCTTGTGGCTTATGATTTCCAATGAAACTGTTTCGTTCTTCGTTATTACTATTCCTTCCTCTCACACCTCTGTTTACTGTCTATATTATGCATTTCTCCTACTTTCTTCTCTTGCTATTTGTGCTACATGGAGTGTGGCGACTTGAACTGCCGCACATATGTGCAAAGTTCTATGTCGAAAACAGACAGACAGACACTGTAACTGACGAATAAAACGTCTAACCTTCATTGGTTAGTCGTCCAAGTACTACGTTATTTTATAGGAATTTTTTATCTAGCAGGCAGTTTATTAAAAAAAGCACTAAAGTAAACGTCGTGCTAGTGATTAATTTCACCAATTCACTTCTTTTGTTGCTCCACAATTTTCAGTTTCTAATATCACTTTAGGCGTTATCGTTGTGTTGGGAAGTATTTATCGAGGTAGTTACTGACAAACTAAATGACAAAGTAAATTTCATACAACTGTTTCTCTTGATAAACTTGAACGAGGCAAGCAGAACATATTGAGTAGGATTAAATGACGTCATTTTGACCTGTTCAGTGTGTTCTTCTTACTCTATTCTGTTTTTATTACTTGTGCTTCATTTAATGAAATATTGGAGTCATGACCTCTCCTCCTCTGATAGATGCGAAAATATGAATAGTTGTGGACTACTTCCATATTTATGAATGCGATATATTTCTTTTTCTGCTTTTTATGAAAAAGTCACGATTTAGATCACTTGATCTGAAGTGAGAACGGAACTAATCTGGCATAAGTACAAACTAGGTTAGTTAATTGAATATAGTTGTGACAGTTAAGAATACAACTTTTCTATACACAAAGGGATTGGACTTATAATCTAGAAATAAGAAATGAAGTTGTGTTTGAAGCAGGTCCTACTGTACTTGAGTTAAAGGATTCAAACTAAACGAAAAGAAAAGATCAAGAGATAGAGTCAACAATAAAGAATATGCGAATTATAGTGTTACGAAAGTATTCTTAATCAGTATGAAAGAAGATGAACTTCGTTCGTGTAAGAAAGATTATCCATTGTTTCTTCAAGTGTATATAAGTTTAGTTCAACATATTTCAAGGCTACCGCATATGAAAAAATAGGGCTGAAGCTGAAGACTTCGGATAGTCTCAGAACATCAGTTTTATAAATTAAGGGTGATTGTTGGGCCAAAGACACTGTTCTTATTTAGTTGCAGTTACAAAAGCTTCTCTTATCAAAGTAACCACCAAAATGCTAGACTTTGTGGCAGTTCTCCTTCCTTTGTAATATTGTGAATTTGATACAGATTAATAGGAAGTGGCCGAAATTGAAATCAATATTTTAAGTCAATGACTGCAGAGGTAGAAGTATTTTCTTCCTCAAATCTGGATCTAGTTTACTCTGAAGACATAAAATTATCTCATTGGACAAGTTGTTTAACCTTGGATAAAGTGCCAACCAATCAAGACAATTTATTCTCCTCTGACCTAGCCGAACTTAAATATGACTAAGAATGCACAGAAGTGATGTGTTTTTCCTTAATAAAAGTCCGTCACCAAGTCTCTTCCGCTGTTACAATATGAGTGGTAGAACTTTTTATGCGACTGAAAACATTGTGAATTCATTCCTAAGTTGATCAACGAAAATTTTGCTATCAACTTTCACCAACTCTCCACAACTTTAGATTTTAGCACTGTAGTTATATCTAAATCACGCTGTTCAGTAAATATTTTGCGTACGTCTGAAAACTCTATTTACTAGTTGTTTTTCTTATACTGTATTACAGAAAAGCTATTAAGACAGAGTCTGTTGTATAATTTCTTACGAAAGATATTTACCTCTTAATGCATATTAACCGTACTGTGATACACAGTTGTACTGGTTTGCTACTGTATAGCATTAGTGTCGTCTTATTCTCTGACAAATTAATTAAAGGTTTCCTTCATAATTAGCTAACAGACTACTGAATTAAAAAATACGCTTTCCAGTAACTTTCTGTATAGGCTGTATTTAACAGAGGTTACCTCCTTCACTTATCTAACTGGAAAGTATCGTTTCAACTACAGGCGGAACGGACGAAGATGTCAAAGTCAGAATCGGAAAGGCAAGATACGTCTTCATTATGATGATAATCTAGTTTCAATAAATGGATATAAAGTTTTTCGCCAGAATAGAAAAAGTTCTAAGAAAAAATATGGAGGAGGAGTAGCCACTTTTATAAACACAAGTTGGTCTACATCAAATCACGTTTGCTTCAATTATTCTAATGACAATATAGACTGCATAACCGTCAGGTGTCGCCCAAAACACTTAAGTAAATATTCTTATATATACATAACAAATATTTACATAACACCCAATTGTAGCCTTTCTAATATAGTTATGTTTGCAGATGAATTTACTGAATTCGCTGCTCCTGCATTCGGAAACTCGTTGTCTATAGTCTGTGGTGATTTTAATTCATGTGATCACAGCTTTCTCACTTCACTTGGTCATGAGAATCTAGTCAAGTTTAATACACGTCTGGACAAATCACTAGACCTGGTTTTCATAAACGACCGTGATGTATATGAAACCCGAAGGAGAGCTCCTTTGCTAAACTCTGATCACTGCATTATTCGTATTTTACCGAAAGTGTACGGCATTTTACAACAAAAATTGTTTAGTCATTTAACAAAGAAGATACATGAACGTTCATATTCCCATGAAAACATTCTAGCACTAAGATGCATGTTGTATGATACTAACTGGGAACCATTTACTGACGATAAGTTGGATGCTACTGTTTCTAATATAACCGATTATCTGAAGTTTTGTTTGGATATTTGCTGTCCATATGAAACACTGTTTTCGAGATTTGACAGAATCTCTTCTTTGCAGCTGAAAAAACTTAGAAGACTAAAAGAGAAGTTGTATAAGAAATGTGATAATACTGGTGTCCGTCAAATAAACACCCTTATAAAAATTGAAATAGAAAGGTTGAACAGACTATATAATGAAAAATTTTTATCATGTAAAAATCCTTCAGATATTTGGAAACTTTTCAATAAACTTACAAGTAAAAAACAAATATCTGTTGATGCTTATTCTGATGTTAATTCTTTAAACAAATCATTTATCATGAAACAAATTAATACGGTTGTACCTGATGTAGCTAGTCAAGATAATGGTCATTTTCTGAGTTTTAAAGAAAAGGATGTACTATTATGTTTGAAATCTTTAAATCCTACACACAGCCTTGGTCCAGATGGTGTACCAAGCATTCTTCTTCAAAAGTGTGCAGACATCTTGTGTCATCCTCTTACTCAAATCTTTAATGCATCATTTAACAGGGAAACGGTACCTGCTGACTGGAAAGAAATCAAGGTTGTACCTGTACAGAAATCATCTTCTGGAGCAGGTATAAAGTTTAGACCGGTCGCTATAACATCTCCTTTTTTGAAAACTATGGAGAAACTTCTTTTGAACATTCTTAAACCTTCTTTAAAAGCTTTTAGTGACCCTAAGCAGTTTGCTTATAAGTGTGGAAGAAGTACATTAGGTGCAGCCATTGTACTACACCATAATATTGTTTCTTGCCTTGATAAGGGTGCTAAGTTCGTTCGAACAGCTTTTTAAGATTATACTGCAGCTTTCGACTCTGTTCCTAGGATACTTTTATTAGGAAAGATGATTTCAGCACAAACAGATTCCTGGGCAACTAGATGGCTGTCTTCTTATTTTAAAGATAGGAAACAGAATACTGTTTTGGCTGGAAAGCGCTCCACTTCTCAGCTAATTGAAAGTGGTGTGCCTCAAGGTGCAGAACTTTCTCCATTTCTTTTCTCTTTCTTTATGCATAACCTTCCGAACTCACCCAAAGTTAACTTCATTAAGTATGCTGATGATCTGACCGTTTCTGTCCCTGTAGTTTCCACATCGAATTGTTCCCATATGAATGGCTTCTTAGCTGAAGCTAAGGATTGGTCTGGCTCAAATGGTCTTAAACTAAATCTAACTAAATGTAATACTGTTGATTTCAGCTTGAGAAGTGAAAAAGACATGCATGGATTGATCCAATCTCATGATTGTTGTAATACTGATGGTACCGTGATAGAGAGTAAGTCAAGTGTTTCTTATTTTGGCATTAGTTTCTCCTCAAACCTTTGCTGGTCGTCTCATATTCTTATAGTTTCTAAAAAGATTTTCTGTCTGACTTATTACATAGAGAAGTTGAGGCACTCAGGTATAACCCAACCTCTTCTCATACAATTTATTAATTCATGTGTTTTGCCCATCATTCTTTATTGTTCTCCATTATTCTTCCCTGGGCTACTCAAAAAAGACCATATAATACTACGAAGAACATTGAAGGCTGTAAGTAGGGTCAGTGCTATCCCTTTGACTCAACTAACCGACACTGTTGTCAATAGGCACATGAATTCTTGTAAACACTTAGCTTAAGTTATTTTGTCTGATAGTGAACATCCTCTTTATTCACATTTGTTTCCTTGTATCTCTTCGGGTAAGACCAGAAGAAATTTCATAAACATTTATGCTCGTACTACAAAATATAAAAATTCGACCGTACCATATTTGGCACGAGTATTGTGTGAAGAGACAAATATCAGAAAAGAACTTTTACAACTTTTAAATCATTAACTAAACTATAAAATG